TCCTCGATTCCATGCAATGAAAGTTCTCTCTAACACTCCATTGCAAAAGAAGTCTAACTCACAGGAATACTCTGTTGGCCTGAAGGGTATATCAATCAATGGAAGGGAAACCAAGCTTCAGCCAAACGCATTTTCCTTTGATTCTTAACGCAATGGTGGTGTGAAGCTCAGCACAGTTGTTCCTCACACAACACTTAGGAGCGATGTTTCCAAAAACTTCATGGAAGAATGTGAACCCTTTCGGTCTCTGCCTTAAAGCTAGTGCAATGGGGTGGAGCCGTGTGAGTTTGCCTGCTCCCACGATTGAGTTGGAGTTTGGAAATGGGGTGGAGGATATTTGGAGCAAATTCAATGAAGCAAGTTGGTGGAGATGTGGCATGCCTGGCCTTTGTTAATGGTGGCAAGACAGCTAAAGAAGCTGTCGTGACTAGATCATACCAATTGGCGAATAATTTCCTCCAGTTGGATCTGGCCAGTTCGAGGCTGGGTTTCAGTTCTTCTTTATACTCCTATAGGAGATCATGTGATAACGTCAACTTCACATCAGCAGTTTGAACTCAGTAAGGTTCTTACATGAACATTCTCCAAGTAATGATTAGCCCTTTCTCCTGCATTCTCTTGTGATTAAGATAAAATGTATGAATAAGTAATCCCCTACAGCTTTTACATACTAGTTGCAGCTAGCTGGGGCTTTTGTTTTTCCAATTATTGAAATAAATTTCTGACTTGTAGCTCCGAAGTTGGAGAGAATAAAATGATGTTTTAATATGAGAAAATAAATTCAAAATTTATATTTGCATATTATCTAATTTATAGCAGCATCTCTTTGCTAATAAAGTAAATCCAAAGTTGGCAATTTCTTCGTTTAATTTTACTCTCTAGAAACCGAGGAATTCATTGTGTAAATAATATTTCTCCTGTTGAGATGATGTGTTTGACGAAGTGCAAGCCACTGAAATCATTTTATATATCCTTATGATTAAGAGTTGAAAAACAAAAGAGTGGTACCCTATGTACACAAACTACTAATTAGACTACAATTCCATCGCCAATGACATCAATGAAATTCTTAGACAATGATGTGCAATATTCAACGGTCACGTCTCCATGTCCAGAAGCGATGAAAGGTACAAGAACCAATTGTTAAAATTAAAGCTATAACTGGGTTAAACAAGATCTTGAACCCCCTTTTTTTTTCTAAGTACTCTATTAGCTGTCAGTTTCATGAAAAAAAAAATGTCCAAGAGATTCAACCCTACACCCCTTTCGCCCAGTCTCAAAAAGTAAAAAATAAAAAATAAAAAATAAAAAATGAAAAAAGAAGAAGAGAGATTTGTTAGACGAAATTAATCCACATAGAGATGGTAGATTTCGTCTCATGGATTGCTACTGGCTTCCCGATACTACGATGCAATTAATCAGATAGGGTGGACTGTTGATTACTGTGCCCTTCCCCTTTTTAGTTCTAGTACTTAGCAAGGAATTTGACGTGATATGAAACTTAGACTTGCTCTAAAATGACATTAATGATAGTTGCATTGTATAAGTTTTTAATGCACAGTCCCAATCCAGCCATTCCCCAGTTCGATTATCAGAGAGAATTGCTTCAACGAGCTAGCTAGGAACAGTCGAACCTCCGCATCATTCGGAATATTTAATCCAAGACTTTGAAACTCAACACACAGCCAGCTGTCCAGATATATCAATCAGTCTTTTCATAAATAAATGCACCATTTTTTATTGCAACTTGGAGTTAAATAACGAGGGCGAGACCTTTGCCAAGCAACCAGGCCAACTTTGTTTTATACAAATTTTAGCCTTCGAAATCGACGAGCACTTTAATGCTTCACTCCATCTTAAATTATTGCTAATGAGAATGAAAAGCTGGACACCCGTTTAAGCGGTGGATGTAAAGTTGAAGTTGGAACATGTTGTTTGTCGGAACAGGAGAGAAGAG